GAGCAAAGAAATTGTCCGCTTCACTGATGACGAGAAAGGGAAGCATGCAGCAGCTGTTTTTCGGACTTGGACATGGAACCAACAATCCCATCTTCGGTAAGATTCTACTTTGCTTTACATATAATACTTTTCACTCCTACTTTCACTACCATATACTTTTACTAGTTTTCATATAACTAATTTTAATATTAATTAATTTAATACAACTAATTTAATTTTAATTTATACCAATTACAATTACCACAGTCGTCGTACTGACCAGGTCCAATTGTGGTGACGGTGAGAAATATATACGAATTAATGGACCGAAACATTTCTTACTATTAAATTACCATAAAATTATAATAATTTTATCAAAGCAATTTTACTACTTTTACTAATTTCTTAGCTGCATAAACCCCGCACACAACACGTATAAGAGCACGGCCTCGGCCAAAACACAAAAAAGCAATACAAATGTAAGAAACATACTACCACGGCGCGGCGATACGAGGGCTAACGGCAGCTGACGTCCCTTACGCTCGTAGAGAAATTCAATCAGCCATCCAGGCTACAGCCCAGTGCATTCGTTCCTGGTTCCATGGTTGCAGGTAGAGTCCTTTGTGTAGCAGGCACCAATGGCGCACGTGCATGGACTCCGCTCACGTAGCTTACACTACTACAGAGCAGGTCCACTCCCTGTGCTACCGCAGTAACCCGACTTGTGTTTACGCGAATGTTCTAGAAACGGCCCACGGTCCCTGTTGCCCGAGACCTTAACGCAGCGGTACGAGGTTATCAGTCCCGAACTCGTGGAGATGGCTGCACCACCACATGGAATCGCCGAGGCTTTAAGCATGTGACCTAGGCAACGTTCGTTTTGCCCAGGGGATCTTACTAATTTCTTAATATTATTTTCTCATCTCTTACTTTTTTCCACTTCGAAGAAAAGAAAATATTAAGAAATTAGTTCAAAATACCTTTCTATTTCGAATTAAATTATTTCATGAAACTAAATGTTTTCTGTGTGACTTACTCAGTGTTCAGTTTTGCCGCTTCTTCGACCAATTTCTTGTATTGTGGGATTATCGTGTTCAGCTCGTTTTCCTTAGCTGCGATATCCGATTTAAGCTTATTCAGCACATCCTCCGCTTTATCCTGAATTATCGTTTTTTTGGGACAGAACAAAATGCACGGCAGTAAACCCCTCATCGAAAACTGCTTTACATTCCGGAACGAAAGAAATGCCTCCTCACTCTGCCGGAGCGTTCTTTTTCCACATCTTCACGCAAATCTCGGATCAGCAAATCCAGTTCGGTTTTCTTCTGCACTCTTTCGGTTTGCTCGGCAAGCAGTGCCTCTTTCTCGTCTCGCATACCCTTGAAGCGTGCCTCCAGTTTTCGTTGCTCGATCGAAGCTTGTAGTGCACGATTTTGCACAGTCAGCAAATCATTGGTAACCTGTCAAAAGAAAACTAGTAATGTGTGCAGCACGTAATAACAGCAAAATTAAGTGCTAACAAATCAATACCGGGAAAAACCGAGGCCAAAGCAAAAAAAGCCAAAAAACAGAAGAAATAAGAAAAACTCGCACATCAAAGGCGCTTAATCCGGCCAAAACAAAAACTTTCCCCTAGTTTTGTACACAACTTTTCCCCAATGCAAAGATGCTGGTT